TTGGGGTGGTGCACCATCGGGCATAAGCCACATTATTTCAAATATTTAAAGAGAAGTCTTCCAATAACGGATTAAGGTGTTCTTGCAGTAAATGTAGGTACTTATTCCCATTTAAAGCATCATGATACAATACATGTATGTTGTTAATAAAATTCGATTTTCTCAAAAACGGTACAAGATATCTATTGTGATATATGGTATATTTTTTTTAGCATGGAGAGAGGAATCAAACTATGAAAGAAAAATGCCAAATTTGGCAATGCTGTCAAAGACGTCTAAATTTAAATGGATAATTTCGTCTGTTGCTGTATAATCCAGGCTTATTGAATATCAGTGAAGTACTACAACTATTTTGAGCTCCGCTATATACCCCTTTATCTTTGACATGACCTTTCTGGACACCCTGTATACTCAGCAAAATTTAAAACTCCTTTTAATGAGATAATTGAAATATGAATATATAATTGAAGTGCCGTAAATATACAGGGTGTCTGCAAATTTCACTTACAACGTTTGACTGCATATTCACGACGATAAATAAATACGATCTACAAAAAAAAGTTAAATAAAACTTTTTGGTTTTTGAGTGACAGGCCTTCAAAGTTGTAAATGGCATTATGTATTTGCAGGTCTGTACGTTTCGGTTTGCGTAGCAGTATCACGGATTTAAAACTTAAAGTTCAGTAGGCAATGAAAACAAGATGTTGATTGCTGTGGCTATCAGGTAATGTCATTATTGTCATGTTTCTTTGGGATTCCCAACACCCCACACATGCAAATTATGAAGTGTCCCCAGTGTATCAAAACAATTAAACATTTTCATAATTTGCATGTGTGATGAGAATCCTAAAACACGACAATAATGACGTTACCTCTAGGCGATTTTCTCAAGACAATATATTTTTTTAAATAAAACGATTGTTTCAATGTTGCTGCCCATTTTAAAAAAATACGACCACTGTAAAAGTTTTGACCGGTAAAAAGGGGAGGTAATTGGAGAAAACTAACACCCAGTATATCGATTTGACTAGTTTTAAGAAACAATACGCCATAATAGTCGAAATAAATGTCCCAAATTTTAATGAGATTGGTGAAAGGGTTATGAAGTTATTAATTAAATCAGTTTTATTTGTGACAACTTTGAAGGCCTGTAACTCAAAAACCAAAAATTATTTATTTAACTCTTTTCATGGATCATATTTATTTATCGTCGTGAATATGCAGTCAAACGTCGTCGGTGAAATTTGCGGACACCCTGTGTATATGTATATACAGGGTGTCCGGTAAGTACCTCCTAATCTCTAGGGAGTGTATAGGGGAGGTCAAAATAAAACTAGTCCTTCCTATAATTTTTTTTCCTAATGTGCCCCCTAACGGAGTTATGGGGGGTCAAAGGGGTACCTAGAAATTAACGTTTAGGGTTATAACTTTGAAACCACCCTGTATATTTTAATAAAATTTTCGTACGTTGTATTACACATGGAGCTCTACGATTTGATGCTAAAATCAACTTTTTGCTATTATCAGGTGTCCAGAAACGGACTGGCCCTATCACAATTTTTCTCAAAATTTTGACAGAAGTAATTTTATCAAACTGAAAATATTATTATTAGATACTCTGAAGGTTTTTCTTTAAAAATGGTACTCTTTATTTATTTCGAAAAAATGAACGGTTTGCGAGATAAATCGGTTTTGAAAAAAATTGGTAACAAATACAACAA